TTTTTTTTTAATAAAACCTAAATTCCACTTTAATATAAAAGGTGATAGAGAAATGGTAGTTAATTTAAATTTCTGTGGAATTTAAATTAACTATCATTTATCTATTATCTTTTCTCTTCACTTTTTATCACTGTTACATCTTCCTATCTTCAAATTCTATCAATGTTATCTGAAGAGGCTCCTAACAAAAAAATTGAAGTAAAGAGAGATGAAAGATATTTACAAGGTTGAAAGGATTTGGATATACAAAACATTTAAAAGAAAGAAGTCATTAATGGCTGCAATGCCCAGAAACTACTGATAGTATGCCAGTGACTTATAGGGAGAAAGAAGAAAGCTAAAAATTAACTGTATTTGATTTGATGCATTATATGGCAGAGATCTTAGGCCACAAGGGAGCCACATACAGCATTAGATATTGTCTGCTAACAGTGAGGTTAGTTCAAATAAAAGAATTTAAAGTTTATAAATTTAATTGGTTTGGGGATCTGCAATCCAATAAAGGATTTTAAGTGGTAATGGTCTTGTATGTTCTTTTTATTTAATTTCTGGTGTTTTCAACCAAGCTGTTTCTCTGATGATGGATTTTACAACCTTAAAGTAATTGGGATGATAAAAGTGTAAGATTGATGTTTATATTCTCCAATAAAGTAGATCGTTTTGATAAATAAAAACTAACTTTTAATTCATTGTGATCTAAATGCAGAAATTTAAAAAATTAATAAAAATTTCAACACTAAACAAATAAAGTATATAGTAAAGTAAAGAAAATACAGAAAAATATAATAGAACAACATGAACAATTATTATTTTTGATTTTAAATATAAATAGATACTTTGTATATTTTAAAATATTATCATTTATAAATTTATCTTATTATATATATAATAAAATGTGTTAAAATTCTATTTAATTTAAATAATGCTCACCTATACTACAATCATCTATATTTATTTCACAATTTAATCCAGTATATCCAGGTACACACAAACAAGAATATTGATTAATTCCATCAATACATGTACCATTATTCAAACAAAGTTCTTTAGAACAATCATCAATATTTATTTCACATTGCTTTCCTTGAAATCCAGTTGGACAATGACATATATAGTCATTTTCTATATTTATACATGTTCCCAAATTATTGCATGGTTTGATATCTTCACAAATATTAACAACTAAAAATAAAAATGATTAAAAATTTTGTATTTCCAATATATTTTATAAATTATATAAATTTAATTTCTTACAATAAATAAAATAAAATATTTACATTAATATATTATTGCATACATTCAATAATGATACATTACATTAGTAATTGAGATACAAAGATTCTGTGCTACAGTTAAAAATTCAATTACTAAGATTATGGATTAAAATATAAAAAGAAAGTTTTTATGGTTATACAATAATTTATATTACTTAATAATTATCTAGATAGTGTGATTTTGCTATTGAGTAAGCATTAACTTTAAAGGTTAATAGCTATTTGACAGATAATACATTTTAAATTTATTTTTAAAACTCAATCTACTTTATATATTTTACATGATTAAAGAGCAATGAAAAAAATTTTAATGGTAATAAAATTATGATAATTAATAAATTATTTTATTAAAACATATTAATATAAATGCTTAAAAATAAATTATTATTAAAATAAAAAAAACAATTTGATTCCATAATTGTAACAATGAAGCATTTCAATTAGAGAAAAATACATTAGAACATAAAAAACTAACTTGTAAGACAAAAATCATTTATGTGTATTGTTATTACTTTCCCAGCTTTGTTATATATAAAAGAGGTTAAAGTATATGGCAATTGGTCAAAAATTGACCTTTCAAGATTTTTACATTTTTGGACTCAGAACCTTGAAATGTCAAGAAATGAAAAAAATTTGGGGGATTTTTCTGTATGTATGGATATTAATGCATGTGTGTGTGGGGGTATGATTTTTTTCATCCTCTTTGAAGCTTAACTCCTGTGCTTTTTGTCAAAAATTAAAATAATTTCACAGAGAGGTTTGTGTATTAGTGAGATTAACCACCAAAATTTAATAGTGTCAAAGATCGAGGGGGTGAGGAGATAAAGGGGGTTGTGTGTCGTATCTCAAGTAGGGTTGGACAATTTTACTCATTATTAACATTTACAATTTTTTTTTTATAAAACACAACCCTATGCCCAAAATTAAGCCTTTTGCCATTTTATAATGTGGCATGATGCCATAGTTCATATATAGTTTGTAAGTTTATTTATATTTTTTTCTTATTTTCCTTTCAAATCTATCCATTTTCTTTTGTTCTTTGTTTCCCAACTTCAAGAACTTTCTACCCCTACCCCACTTCTGATGGTGTAGGCAATAAACAATAGAGAGGAGGAGGCCCTTAGGGCAAGTTCTACGTGGTTCAGATACCTTTTAGCTGAGACACTGAAGGAGAAGGATGTGTGAACAACGTGTTCCGGGTCATGAGAGCAGC